ACCTTTTGCGCACTAATCCAGGCGGCGATTCGTCAGTTTTAAACGAGACGAAAGGGCTGTATTTTTGCTCCGGCATAAAATGCTCATAATACCTAGCAGGCAAAGATAATAAGAGAAAAAAGTGAATCTTACACAGGATTCACCATCTCCAAACTGTCCTGGGAAAACATCAACTGTTGTCTGCTGAGGTAGGAATCAAGTTCTGAAAGGTGGATGTCACTTTGGATAGGTTAAGAAGGTTTGTTAGAAAGCTTACGGTGGATAGAAAGTGAAGGGGTGTACAGCATTCCTGCAAATATGCTTGACACATTGCAACTCAGATTGGAATGCATCCAGCACGACATCTTTCGGCTTTTTTTGGCCGCTAACTTCCACGTTTTCGCTTAAGGCTCTTGCAAATTCTGAGGTATAGTGGGTGCGAGAGTCGGGCTCATTGGGAGAGGCAACATTGACGAATCCGCAATTCGATGAGTCACTCAAAGGCTCCTCGTTCAGTCCCTCATCCAACTCTTGGTCCTCAACTTCTGCCTCCGAAGCGTTACTCGAAGAGGAAGTGGAATCACTAGCCGGTACTTTGAAGTCAGAGTCTTCACTGGCTACGTCCTCCTCAACCTCGGTGTCAATCGGCGTCACTCCCGTATATGTGGAGCGTAAATTAGCTAGACAAATTCTGTTTTTTCAGTAGAACACAATGTGTAAACATGACTTACTGTGCCGACTTCCTTTGAGGCCGGTACTTTCCAGACATGGTAGAATGCTGCTAAAGGCACATCTGAGATGGAAATCCTGTGCAATTTTTAAGAAACGTTAAAAACACTTAGAAGAAATCCTAAGACGGAAAAGGGGGAAAAGGTGGAGAATTTAATAGAAGACCAAATTACCAGACAGGGCTAGAAAAATAAAGAGCACCCCATTTAATTTGAAGAATTTAATGAAGTCCCTTCTTCCACTTTTATCAGCAAAAAGCATGACTACAGGCGGCTTAGCTTGTAAGACGAGTTCCACAAATAACACACGAGTACATTCAACCATGACAAGTCAGTCACCATCCAGGAGGAGGATGCAAACCGCTGAGGTGTAAAAGGAACCGGTAGTTGGTCTTGCTAACGTTCAAGGTTGGGCCGATGTTACAAGAAACAAAGAGTAAGCAATCAAGGGTATGCCGTGTTCCTTCAAATAGCGAATTTATTGATGGTCGGCGAAAACGGGCATGCCCTACGCTAGTTTTGTTGGACGTTACCGCCAACGGCGAAGTGCTCCCATGCCTGACTATCCGCTTGAACTTCGACTCACATGTGCATACGAGTTCGGGGATCATCCTCATCATTCAAAATCATCCAAGGTAGTATAGAGTATTTTGGTCGAGCAAAGTAAAAGAAAAAATGGAATTATGTAAGCGGCAAACGGCCG